GTTACTTGCTCACATGTTGGACATGTGTTTCGGAAAGCTACACCTTACACGTTTCCAGGAGGCACAGGACAGATTATTAATAAAAATAACAGACGACTCGCAGAAGTGTGGATGGATGAATTCAAGAATTTCTTCTATATAATTTCTCCAGGTTAGCATTATTTTTGCATTAGAAATACAAGACTAACTTTCTTGTCCCTGACCCTAATGCCTTCTGAGGAGAGGTAAGAAGAGGTAGGAAAAAGCTTTGAGCAGAGGCGAAACAGTTACCTGCATAAGTCATCGTAAGAAATAAATGAAATCATGCACAGTATAAAAAGGGCATAGCAGCCCTGGCCAGGTTGCTCAGTTGGTTGGAGCATTGTCTCGTACACCAAAAAAGGGTTGTGGGTTCTGTTCCTGGTCAGGACACATAACTAGGTTGCAGGTTCAGGGGCAAGTACGGGAAGCAACTAATAAGTGTCTCTCTCTCCCTTTCTCTCTAAAAATCAATAAAAAACATATCCTCAGGTGAGGATTTAAAGAAAGCACTTAGCAGAATGCCTGGTATAATGTGTTATTAACAATAAAATGAATTATCCAGGTCATTATTGCAGAAATTACTGTTAGACCAGGTGTTTTCCTTGTGTGTGTGTGTTAACCTAATCTCCACATTAAAGTTGATATGAAAGGACTGAGAATCTCAGGGCCAGTCCAGAACCCAGTGGCATGCCTCAAGGGAATTTTCTCTACTCTTAAGTTTTGTGGGAATAGCTATTCCATCAGCTGTACATCTTCCTGACAGTGTTACCATTCCATCTTCATTTTTTAATTATACAAGACTGTCAAGTGGCAGGGTGCACAATTCAGTGAGTTGTTTGAAAGAAACCTGATGGAAAACAATTGTCCTATTTGATTTCTGTTTAATATTTGGGCAAATTAAATCTCAGTTTTTGTTTTTGCCTTAACATATTAAAGTTTGCTGATTACATGTAACTTTTTTTTTCTTTATTGATGTTACAGAGAGAGGGAGGAAGGGAGAGAGAGAAACATTGATTGGCCGCCTCCTGAATGCCTACCCCCCGCCATGGGGATTGGGCCCACAACCTGGGTATGTGCCCTGACTGGGAATTGAACCAGCGACCTCTTGGTGCATGGGTGAATGCTCAACCACTGAGCCACACCAGCCGGGCTATAACTTACATTATTATTAGCATGTATATCGTTCTCACATACATTTATTTATTTTTTGGAAAAATATATACTAATATATTTCCTTGTTTTACACTTGAGAAGTGGATTTATGATATATCACAGGTATAGTCACACATCACCAAAATGGTGCCACTTTTCCCATTCCTCTGGCTTAGATGTAAATACATAAATAGAAATGTGTTACCCAACAGAACATTAGTAATTCAGTCATTTATTTCTTTTAACAGGTGTTACGAAGGTAGATTATGGAGATATAGCATCAAGACTTGGCCTAAGACACAAACTCCAATGCCAACCTTTCTCTTGGTACCTAGAGAATATTTACCCTGATTCTCAGATTCCACGTCACTATTTCTCTTTGGGAGAGGTAAAAAAAAATGTATTCTATGTGGTTATTACATTCTCACTTATATATCAAAATCAATAGAGGTTAAACTTCAACAAGGAGTACTTAGTACCTTCATATTAAAATTACATAATCACAAGTGTGGAAAAATTCTTGTTAGTTGACACAGTCTACTTCATAACTTGAAACCTTGTTAATTTTTATCATGTTATGTTTTCTAAAAGGGTTCTACCCCTTTTATAGTTGTACTTTGTTACAACATATTAGTGTCTTCCATAGACTTCTCATTTTAACAAACTGACCCGTTTAATTGAAACCATATACTCCTATAGTTAATGTCCTAGTGTTAATTAGCTGAATCAAATCTTGAAGAACTTCAAAGTAATATAATAAATTGTAAAGAATTGCCAAGGAAACTTACAAGATCATTTGTAATTAATTGTATTTTTAGCACTCTTTTTCTTTTTCCTTGTGAGTTCTAAATCTCAGTTTGGACAGGGAGGTTGGTAAGCATGTTTGTTTCTGATAATGACTTTAGTTAATGCTCTTAGAATTCAGCAAACAAGTTTTCTTGAAACCTGAAATTCTTAATTCTTAGTTAACACAGGTAGTTGTGCTTTGGAGTTTGGCCTTCGTATCTTTATGGGTGCCCATAGTATAGGGTTTGGTGTGAGAGAGACTTGTCTTACCTCTGGTATAATTACCAGGATGGTCACAAGAAACAGTTTCTTGTGCCCTATTCCTCAGCATTCCTACAGTGTCCCTAGCCATCCAGTCTACCTCCCAGCCAAAACTGTGGTCTGTGTATAGGATATCCAAATAGGTCCTTCTGTTTAGCCCAGGCATCTGATCAAGTCAAGGAGTCTGTTAGTTTCTTAGAGCTTCCATAATAAAGTACCACAAACTGAGTGGCTTACACAGTAGAAATTTATCATCTCACAGTTCTGAAGAGTGGATTCTGAGATCAAGGTGTGGGCAGGTTTGCTTTCTTCTGAGGTCTAAAGGAGAGCTGTCTCTTCCTTTCCCTAGCTTCTGGTGGTTTGCTGACAGTCTCTGGTGTCTCTGCCTTCATCTTCATTGTTCAGTGTGCATGTCTGTCTCCTAATTTCCCCTTTTATAAGGACATATTGGATACATATTGGATTAGGACCCAGCCTAATGACCTCATTTTAATTTGATTACCTCTCTAAAGACCTGTCTCCAAATAAGGTCACATTCTAAAGTATCGGGTTAGAATGTCAACATATGAATTTTAGGGGTCACAGTTCTACTTGTAACAAGGATGGAACTAGGTGGGGCTGGGTTACAGTTTTAGGAAACCTCGTTCACTTCTGGCTCATGTGTGTTTTTTAGGTCTGGTCCGCCAGGGTTTTGAGTAATGGCATAGCAGCACCTCTATCTCTGCAATCCTGAAAGTTTTATCTTTCTGAGGTTTTCAGGATAGTACTTTATCCTCCCACCTTACTGACTAGGGAGACCGTGGAAGATTTCATTCTGCTTTTAGATCCAGCTCCTTGCTTACCCAGAACTCAGCAAATGTCCCATCAGGCAAATGGCATTGCATTTGGGCCTCCTCTAGTTTTTTATGTGTCCTACCAGCCTCAGAACCAAAACACCACTGCTTTTTCCAGCCACGGCCTGTCCTCAGCCTGTACCATGAGCAAATGCCCTCTCAGAGGAAGACAACTGGTGATTGTCAGCTGTTGTTCAGCAAGGGTTCTTTCCTTTCTGAAATTATAGTTCACCTCGTCCTAATTGCTTCCATAGCCTCAAAAATAGATAGGACTTTTGCAATTTCACTGTTTTCTCCCCTAGTTGTTGGAGCAGCAGTATTGTGCTGCTATGTCCCAATGAGAAGTGTTTGTCCTTCTCTTCTTTACTTCAGTATAATACCCCGAACTAGTGGGTCAAAATCCTAGTTGTCCTTTCTCAATAATCTTCTAACTCCCCAAGGTTCCTGTTTTTATTAGGCCAAGGCAGTAATTTACAGTGTTCTGGTCACAACCCAGTAGTGGCTTATAAATCACTTTAGCTGCCTTATGACCACACTTTTTATAATCTAGAGAAGAATATATAAAAGTTCATTGCTTATATAAAGGAATTTTGTTCTACTGGGTCAATCTGCAATTCATTGTAAGTCTTTATAAACTTTTAGAAAGCACATGAAGCCAGATTGGGGGTGGGGGGAATCCAATCTTTCTACCAAAGAAATTGACAGTGTTTCCTTTAGTAAGTCACAGCGGCAACTAATGCTGTGTGTGTGTACAGGGCCACAACCAGGCCCCATCCCAGGATTGAATCTTCCTGACATTCAGGAAAAGTTACCCCCAATTTATACATTGTCATCTCTTTATTCCTTTCATTCAGTCAACAAATATTAGAGTACCTGCTATGTGATAGGTACTGGGAATACAGCAGTGCTTTTGTGGGTTTTACAGTTCCTGGAGGAAGACAGATTTGTTTTTTAAATATACAATGTCAGGTGGTTCAGAAGGGATAGGGAATGACTGGTGGGCATGAATGATAGTGGTGCGCTTTTATGTAAGGTAGTTTTTGAGCAGAGATTTGAAGGAAGTGAATGAGCAAGCCATATGAGCTTCTGGGGAAAGACCACTCCAGGTGAAGGACTTGTTTCAAGAAAGAGGAAGTGGTCAACTTTTAAATGCTGCAGAGAAGTCGAGTAAGAGGAGTACTGAGGATTGGCCATTGGATCGACAAAGGAGAAGTTGTAGGTTTTCTCCATCTTAGTGTCAAGAGGGTTCCTGTGGAGATTGGTAGGGACACAATCCCTGATGGCTTCAGGGATCTAGGGAGAAAAGAAAGTAGAGATCATGAATGGACAAGTCTTGGAAGAGGTTTTATTGTAAAAAAAAAAAAAGAAAGAAAGAAAGAAATGGGGGTAGCTGGAGGGGAATATGGGGTTAATAACAGAGGGATTTTTTTTTGCTATAATGAAACTGTGCTAATGCAAATGACCCCACAAATAAAATATGAATATGCTAAAATCAAGCTACTGATTGTACTGATTGCAGGAGTCAGATGGGAAGTGGTGAGCTCCAGTGCACAGTGGAGGTGGGGGGAGGTGAAGGGAGAAGGCAGTTTATCCATTGATGAAGGTAGAGGGAATGGGGCTAGTGCAGGTCAATTGTAGATTTGGGGGCAGAACCTGGTGGTATGTGGTAGAAGTGTGAAGAAGTTCTCAAATGACTTCTGTTTCCTCAGATAAGAGTCAAGAGGTGGTATTGGTGACAGGGAGTTGAGGAAAGAATGTAAATGTAAATTAAAATGTAAATTAGAAATAGAATATGGGAGAGCAAATGGATCCCAGAGGGAGCTGGATGGTGGTGAGTTAGAGTGAAACCACTCAACCTGGTTGCCTTTCTGCCTTTCCAAGGCGGGCGGACTTCTGTGCCCATCTTGAGTAGTTACTGAGGCTGCTTCAGGATTGCAAGTTCCTTACCTCTGAACTTTTTTGTGCTTTGAGGAATTCACCTTCAAACAAGTGATGCAGTTTCTTGCTTCATTAATGACCATCTGTTTCCTTTGCTGTAGCCTCTTTATAGTCGGGGAAGGTGATGTGCCATGGGAAAATTTATAGCAGTTGCTGCTATGACTTAAGAATAGAGAATGAAAAGGTGTTTTTTTCATTTGAACTGACCCAGTTTTGGACAACACCTAGGCATTGTTAACTGGGCCAGAATATAGGCATATTACAAAGAGCCACTTGTCTAAACCATAGTAGACGATTGCCAAGGCAAACTTGCCTTTTACTTGCCTCTTGCCAGCTGGCGTTCTGTACAAGGAACAGATTTAACCCTTTGTGACCTGCTTGTTCTTAACGAAGCAGCTGATCTTAAGCTTGCATGCCCTTAATAGCCACACTATCCAGATGGAAGCTTGGGTTTCTGGGGCCAGTCATTCTCTTGTGATTATAGCTCTACCTGTGTAAGCCTTCCTTCACTAGAGACTGGAATTTAGCTTTTTAAGGATCATTTGTCACACTTCAAGGGCCTAGGGAAACCTAAAATCATGGGATATTAGAAGGTATAAATTTAGTCTCTGGTTTCACCGAGCCAAGTCTCAAGCTCCTGGAGGACCTGGAACTGAATAAATGTTTCATTGTGATATCTGACAACTGTTAATCCAGGAAATGAATATTCTAAACAACTACCACAGAAAGTAAATAATTCAGACCATTAATGTTTAGCCAGCCTTTTGGAGTGACCAGTTAGTTGCTTCTCCAGGCAGATCTGATAATCCTAAGATTTAGTGAGCATGATTCCATGTCAAGCACCAGTCTGAATGCTTCACAAACATTAACTCTTTTTAACCTCACATTAACACTATGAGACACAGGTGCTATCATCCCCACTTCATGGTGAGTAAACTGAGGCATAAGAAAATAGTTTAAACAACATGGCTCAGGTCACAGCCACAAAATGGAAGAGAGAGGATTTGAACACAGGCAGTCTGGCTCGAGAGTTTGTGCTCTTAACCACTGATCCCCTCACTCTTTCTCATGTTTTGGAGGAGGCTCTAGCAGAGATTAAGGAACTTTGGCTCTAATTTCTTGCCTGTTTCCCAAAACTGAGTGCATTCACAATTATTTTCAAATCCTAAAGTCAGAAGTAATATTTTAGTGATAGTTGTGTACACCTAAGTTGCTACTTCAGAAGGATCTGTGGACAAGGAAGGGAAATTGACAGTTATTGTGGGCCTACTATGTGTCGGTTTCTGTGAGGCCTCATTGAGAGATCTCCAAACCTGAGATAGTTATCCTTATTTTACAGATGAGAAAATTAGGTTCTTACAGCAACATTTCCCAAATACTGTGTAAAGAATGCTGGTATCTGCTGTCCCTCAAGGTGCTCACTCAATTAGAAAGGCAAGAGGTGGAGGAGGAGGGAATGAATTCTGTGGCCAAATGTGTTTGGGGAATGCTGCTTTTCATATCCTTCTGTACTGCCAGTCCCTACCCCTACCAAGAGTCACAGCATGTAAAAGACTTTGAGAAGTCCTTCAATAAAGAAACCTATTTAAATTTGTTTAACGCAGTATTTCCCAAACATATTTGATCGCAAGCCCCCCCCCCCCCCCCCTTAGTGGCACCTGTATCCACCCCTGTTCAGATTGTGGTTTGGAGAATCACTGTGTTAGATCTGATCTGCCAATGTCTCATGGCTAATAATGGTAGAGTCGGGAGTGAGGCCCATGTCTGCATGTCCTCAAACCCACTCTCACTCCTGCTAATCTGCCTCCAGATACCTTGGAAGTGTAGCTATTTCCCCAACCACTATAATTCAGATATTGCTATGATTCAAGTAGAAAACTTCCTGCTTCTAACAACTCCTTGCCCTCCGGCAATCTCACAGTTAGTTGTACATGGTGCTTATGACTGTTTTGGTTTGGCTCACTGGCAATTCTGGTTTTATAAGGAAAGATGTGTTGTTCAGTCATAAAGAAATCCTGTAAAAAGAACCATTAGTCTACAAACCTCTTCCCCCTTGAAATCATTTAGATCCCCTAGGATGTCTACTAATTCCAGAAAGTACTAACCAAACTTGGGCACTTCCAGGTGCCTTTCAGAGAGTGCCAAGGATGTGATAACGGCTCCATTAGCAGGTTTGTTCACTGTTTCTCATCATTGACAAGTAGCCCTCACAAAAGGTGGAAGACTATTTTTCTGTGTCAGCATCTAGTCCTGCACATCACTCTGGTCGCCAGTAGCTACATGTGGCTATTTAAATTAATTAAAATTAAACAAAACTAATATTCAGTTCCTCAGTCACCCTAGCCACATGTGGCTAGTGGCTACCATATTGCATAGCACAGATATAAAACACTTCCATCATCATAGAAAGTTTATTGGACTGTGCTGGGGACATTAACACAATAGTCAATATCGAAGCTAATCCATCTATCTTGCCATCATTCCACAAATTTCTCCGTGCGTGGGTCCTAAAGTTGAGGTGTTTATATTTGCTTGTCTAACCTAGTGTCTTAAAAACTCATAACTATTGTATACCCTCCATAATCATCCTCATTCTCAAATAATTTAGAATATGTACATTCTAAAACAACTTTCATATGGATGTATCATATCAAATTTCCACCCATCTTGTCAGTTATTTTCCTGCTCCATTAAGGAGAACATCAGGATCACATTTATATTCAGGAGTATCTACTCCAATGAGGAAAAGCTCCCTTTTTTTTCCATATCAAATCAGTCTTTTAGTTTAAGGGCCCATAATAATTCAGAATCTCAGTTGGCATTGGACATCCTGATAATCACCAAGTACTATGTTACCAAACAAGGGGACTTCTCTTATTTCTGTTTCCAAGATAGTCATCAAGATATAACCTGGAATGAGAATAAACTAGAAGGAATTCATAGTGTGATGAGACTACTGAGCATTCGTTGTCACTGCACATATAGCAGAAGATGGGACAGAGTCCTATAAAGAGTGGGAGAACCCAGAAGTGCCCATCTTCTCCTTAAAATATACTTCAAAATACTCCCTAACTTGTCTGAAGGTTTGCACTTTATTTTCTTTTTTTTTTTTTTCAGTTTTAGTCCTCTTTTTTTTAGAAATCCAACAAAGGAGACATTGGACTAGAACATCCTTACCTAACCAGTCTTAAATTCTTCTCCCTGATAACATACCTATACCTTTAATGTCATTCTGTATTTTCCAAGTGCTATTTTTTTCAATGACTTTTTTTTTTTTTTAATCCTCATTCGAGGACATTTTTCCATTTTTTGTACAGACAGAGTGGGAGGGAGAGAGAGGAAGAGAGAGAGAGTGAAACATCGATGTGAAAGGGACACATCGAGTGGCTGCCACCCACACAAACAACCAGGGCCAAACTGCAACTGAGGTACATGCCCTTAGCGGGAACCGAACCCGGGTCTCTCCGGACCGCAGGCGGACGCTCTAACTGCTGAGCCAAACCGGCCAGGGCTTTCAATGACTTTTAAGTGTCACATGTTGGATTATCAATTCTAGTACCTATTTGTATCCCAGTGTAAACACTGGCACAAGTATATGTCACCACCTTTCTACTTTCACCTCACTAGAAAGCTGGTAGTTGGTTAGCCTTTAAAGCTATATGGAATTACAGTTCTGAACATCTGAATCAACATTCCTAGAAAATGTTTCTTCCTAATGTTTTCCTTCTCCAAAGACTTCAAAGTCAACTCCCACCAAACCCATTCACTGGTTTTCTAAAGGACAGAAATGTTCCCTCAGCCAACCCTCTAGTCGTCCTGGTTTTTTGTGTCCTCAAGAAATCATCTTACCCCACAGATGAGGTAGTCCACATATGTTCCTACCAGGAGAAGAAGGATATTCTCTGAAAACTGTCTTCTCTAGCCATTCAGTACATAGAAGAACCAGCCTGGAGAGCAGATGTCCCCTTCAGCTACAAAGATACCACATAATTGTGAGGCCAAACAAAATCCTCTTTGCCTTCTAATGTTAAAGCCATTCAGGGACCAAGATATGAATAGCTGCCTCCTTAAGAAGTTCCTACCTCATCTCGAATGTGCAGGGCATCACTCCAGTACTCCCCTGCATTTTAGAGGAGTGCTGTCAGGTCCCATCAGAAGCCACAACCAAGTCCCTGACCACATCTTGCTGATCAAGGTTCATTGTCATTGTAACAGTTGGCAGAAGGCAGTGATTTCCAGTCCTTGAAGAAACTGTACTTCTAATACCTTATAATCAATAGTGACCCCAAGGGATAGAGATTTAGATTTCTCATGTCAGAAAACAACCTGGAATTATTCATAGGAAAGTTGTAAGAATGGTGTAAGCTGTTACATACAAAACTCATAAAATAATGCCAAGCACAGCGTAAGGGTATTTTATTTGCTATAGTTAGCAACCTCAGTTAGGGAAACAAAATAACCAATGTTGATTTATTATAAGATAGTTACAGAGTGATCAGAAACCCTATTACATTTGGGGTTTGAAGAATTGTATTCATTTTCATTAGTTAATTCAGTGAAAGAGAATTATTTAACCAAAAGGCCATTCCACATGAGAGAGAATCTTTCCTATGGCATTTATTACCTTTCTTCCGCAGCCTTTACACCTGTATTTGAAAGGGAAGAATTGAAGGGAAGGACTAGAGAATTTATGTTTTCTTCAAAAGTACAAGGAAATAATTGTTTTATATGAACTAAATTCCTTTTTAAGCAAGGTAGCCATGATCATTAAGTATTACTTGACTACTCACTAGAGTGCAGAAAGATGTTTTATGCACATTTGTATCTATAACATCTTTTATAAAATCTGTTTATGAGGTAATAGATTTCTGAATTAAAATAGTGGTTTAAAAAACCTAGTTAATTACATGGTAAAAGAATCCCTGGGTACTGATATGAGAAAGGACCCTGAGATTTCCATCTTGAAAAATTGGACAAATGATGGGATTATTAACAAAAATAGGATATGTATCAGCAGGGGAATTTTTTGGAAATTGATAATGGGTTTTGTTTTAGATAGCAATTCTCAAGGTCAAGGGTGGAGTGGCAGGGGCATATTAAAATATTGGGATGAGGAAATAGTAGCATTATACAGGGGACACACTGCAACCGAGGTACGTGCCCTTAGTGGGAACCGAACCCGGGTCTCTCTGGACCGCAGGCTGACGCTCTAACCACTGAGCCAAACCGGCCAGGGCAGTAGCATTATACAGTTGAAAAGTCCTGTTTTACATGACCTGAATTTGAGGTTGATGTAATAGCAAGATGGAGTAACTAACAGTAAGGTGGCAAGGAAGATTGTTACTATTTCTGAGCTTACTATGTGCTAGACTCTGAAATAGGTAAGTAGATGGATGCATTGTCTTACCTAACCTCAGCATAGAGCCAGCATCGTGTCCCAGTTACTGTTGGGAAATTGATCTCAGAAGTTTTGGGTCATTTGGGTTTAAACCAAGGTCACACTTATGCCAAAATCCCAGTTTTTCATAGCTATGTCTTTGTATATTTATAAAAAAAGAAAATGCATATGGAATTATTAGTATTTTATAAGGTATTGGAATAATATATAGAATGTACATTTGTTTATAAAAACAATTGGTTTGTGGTTTCAACTTGACCCCCACTTTATCCACCACACAAAATTAGTTACATTTTTTTTCCTATCTACATGACATGAAGTTTGTCACACATCTCCCTTTGGCTTAGCTGCTAACAATACCATCGTGGGAATAGATTTAGAACTTTCAAGTGTCTATTAGGTTACAACATGCTTTAAACTGCAGTTCAGAGGAATCAGTATCAAGGGGCATTGTTTAAAATACTCTTCCTAATTTTGATAACTGATTTAAATTCCTTTTATGTAACTGACAACTACCTAATAAAAGAGTGGTGTTTGCACCACACCATGCTTAGGCTCCCAATGAAGCCAAGTTCCAAACTCTTATTAGGAAATATCCACCTTGATGGCCTAAGAATTCATCAGAGTAGTCATCAAAAGCAATGCCCCTTAACTTGTGGTTAACAGTGTCCACAGGAAGTTGTTAAATTGCTTTAAATGATTAGGCAGAATAGAGCTTATTGAACTAAATAAAATCCTAGAAGAATAGCTTTAAAGAAACGAAAGAAATAAAAATTTCAAAGATTTCTCCCTGAAACACAGAAGTTATATGTATGTAAAGAGTAAGACCTTTCTAGACCACAGAATTTTAGATAACCAGGCAGCGAATTTTCCCTCCAAACTCATAGCCCTTACCTTGTCAAGCATGTGAAGTTGTTTTATAGTAGTGGGAAGTTTAGATTGATTTTAATGTATGTGTGTCTCTCTGGTTAACTTTCTTTAATTCCTGATGTTTTCATTATTCATTGTCCCTTAGATACGAAATGTGGAAACAAATCAGTGTCTAGATAACATGGCTAGAAAAGAAAATGAAAAAGTTGGAATTTTTAACTGTCACGGTATGGGAGGTAATCAGGTGAGTATTTCAGTAAAGCTTTAAAAGGGATAATTTTCAGATTCTGTCCTTTTATTTATTTATTTATTTTTATCCTCACCCGAGGACATTTTTCCACTTTTTTGTTAAGATAGAGTGGGAGGAAGAAAGAGAGAGAGAAACATCGATGTGAAAGGGCCACATCGAGTGGCTGCCACCCGCACAACCAGCCAGGGCCAGGGACAAACTGCAACCGAGGTACGTGCCCTTAGCGGGAACCAAACCCGGGTCTCTCTGGACCGCAGGCCAATGCTCTAACCTCTGAGCCAAACCGGCCAGGGAAGATTCTGTCCTTTTAATCTGATGATGTCATTCAGGAAATATTTTTCTACCTTTAAAGAGGAAATAATAAAGACCGTTAGGAGAAGGGAGCCTTCAATCTAATTATTATTTTTAAATGAAGCATTTGTAAGAACTATATTTACATTGCTGTGCATGGGGTTTATTTTGCCCTTTTTCTGTCAAACAGATGACAATACACTCAGTGTATACAGAAAACTATTTTCTTTCTGCTGTGTAAAATTAGTGGTAGCTTTTCTGAGTCAGTTAATTGTTCTCTGTTACATTAATAAAGTTCAAAATTGTGTTCCTTGAATTGTTTTTTCCCTTCCAGATTATTGGGCATATAAAATACTGACTGGTGTACAGATGTGTAAGCTTCAACAGTAATGTTTGTTTTTCAGGTTTTCTCTTACACTGCCAACAAAGAAATTAGAACAGATGACCTTTGCTTGGATGTCTCCAAACTCAATGGCCCAGTCACAATGCTCAAATGCCACCACCTAAAAGGCAACCAACTTTGGGAGTATGATCCCGTAGTAAGTTATTCATTTACATATAAGATAAAATTGTGTTACTGGGTATATTTATAGACTTTATAACTAAAAAAATGAATTCTTGGGGAGTTTGAATATAAATCAAATTGTTCTTATACTAAAAAAATTTACAGGTGGGAAAAACAATGAGTAAAATAAGCATGTTTTAATCTCCCCAGTAAGTAGATTAGTTTTGCCTCTAGTACCTTGGTCCTTGGTTGTCACTTAGTAGCCACTGTTCCCTCTGTATGTCCTCAGGCTCTGCAGTCTGGCATGAGAGAAATGGAGCCATAAATAGGCTTTTTAATTATGGAATTAAACATTTAGGTAAAAGCTGTGTGTCAGTTAATGAAATTCTCTTGATCATCATATTTCAGTGACACACACAACTTTTTTTTTTTAAATCCTTACCCAAGGAAATTTTTCTGTTTCTCTTCAGATAGAGTGGGAGGGGGAGAGAGAAACATTGACCCGAGAGGGACATATCGGCTAGTTGCCTCCGGCACGACCCCTACCAGGGCCGGGGACAAAACCACAACTGAGGTACGTGCCCTTGGCCAGAATCAAACCTGCGACTCATTGGTCTACAAGTATATGCTCTACTGCTGAGCCAAACCAGCCAGGGCTAACAAAACTTTTTATATTTATCTTGATGTCCCTCTGGAGCTTCTCCCTTTCCCCACCCAGTATGTGTTGTACTCACTCACATAGAGGTACTCCAGTAAGCCTCTCCCCTCGCCTCAGATCTGACCAACCTCCCAACTTGTGTTTTTGCTCTACGGGTCTTGAACCTGCACCAGCGTCTTCATGATGTCTTCCTCTGGTTCTTCATGTAAGGAAAGACTTTCATTCCTATGTTACGTGCTACGTGCTCTCCTAACTTTTCTCCTGTGTTGTTTGATGGCAAGTGAATGGCCAGCACTTGCACCTCCGTTTCTCCAACCCTTTTCTCCTGCATCAGCCTGATTCTGCAGTCTACTCCTGGACGTGAAGCCAGGAGCATCCTCCTCTCTTTTTCCTTAGCTTTTCATAGCATTTCCTGCTGCTGAGCTGATATTTTAAAATCCTCTTATCCATCGAGGAATATAATGAATATAACAGTCTGAGGAATAGGGTAGACCCAGAAACATGGAAGTAGGGTACAGACTGACAACCCTCCGAAGAGGGGGTGGGAAGAGATAAACCACAGAACTTATATGCATGTATGCATAACCAATGGTCGTGGACAACAAAGCCAGGGATGGGGTGGGGAGGAGGGTGTCAATGGGATGAAAAAGGAGAAACATCTGTAACAAAAATAAAAGTTAAATAAATAAATAAAATCCTCTTATCCATTGACTTTAGATACACTATTTAGTTACTTCTCTTAGCTTTTTCTCTGTTCCTTTGGTTTGCTTGCCTCACTCTACCCCTTAAATGGAGATGTCCAAAGTTATGACTTTGCTCATCTTTTCTCCCTATATATTGTATCAGTATACAAACCCAGCTGTACTTAATCATCAATCTGCTATTCCTTGACCTTACCCTGTACTTTTCCACATTACATTTAAGATCATGCAGTTCCCTCTACCTAGCAAATCCTACCCATGCTTGAGGGCCCATCTTTGACATCACTTCCATGAATCCCAACCAGAAATTAGCTTGCTGTCCTAATTTAATTACAATTGTCTCTGACCCCTCTAGTGCTGTGCTGCTTTGCAGTTTTTAGGGTTGTTTTTTTTTAATCTACCAGTCTTTTCTCTACTATAGATTATTAGAACCTAGAGGGCAAACACCATGTTTTATAAATCCTGGGTCTCCCTTCACCATGTCAAACTATAGTGAAAAAATACTATAGCAATAGCTCAGTTAACATAGCCATTGAGAATGGCCTGAATATTCAGTTCCAGGGTTTTCCACGGTATGTGCTGCTACCATTTTGGGTGTAACTACCCCATGTACTATAAGATGTATAGTCTCTGACTTTAGACAGTAAATGCCAGTGGCATCCCACAGTCGTCGTGACAATCAAAATATTTTAAAAATTAAAAAGCCTCCCAATTGTGTGGTCATTGAAAAATGACAGTATATCAGTTAGGTAACATAAAACTTGTTTATAGTAGCATAAACAATTAGCGGTTTACTTTTCTTAATAAGCCTGAAAGTCAGTGGCTTCTGGTGTGGATTCAGTTGCACAGTGTCAGGGATAACGTTGCTGTAGTATGCTTGGCTTTTCCTTGTGGCCACAGGATGGCTGCTACACTCTCACCATCACATCCCAACTCAAGATGGGAAGAAGAATGTTGCTGTACCTCCTGTGTTGCTATCAGGAAAGCCAACCCATTCCCTGGCTCCTCCTCAGTGGACTCTACTAAAGTCTCATGGGCCACAACTTCATCCCATAGTGATCTCCCCCACACTCCCAGCTATAAGGGAGGATGGAAAACCAGGCATTTGGTTTTCCAGTCTGTCATTCCAAAAGTAAATTATTAGAAACGTAAAGGGGTAGACATTAGAAACAACCAGTTATGAATATAAAGTTTTAAAACTTCTGGAGCACTTTGCAAAGTGTTCCCTAAGATAAAATTTTAGTATTACAGGCTGAGTTCTTCCAGAAGCAGACTCTGATATAAATTTAGTGTTCAGTATGTTTATTAGAAGTGCTCTTTGGTCTGGCCAGTGTGGCTCAGTGGTTGAGCATCCACCCATGCACCAAGAGGTCGCTGGTTTGATTCTTGGTCAGGGCACATGCCCAGGTTGTAGGGCATACAGGAGGCAGCCGATTGAGGTTCTCTCTCATCGATATTTCTATCTCTAAAATCAGTAAAGAAAAAATATTTTTTTAAAAATGCCCTTTGGATTAACACTGAAAAGGAAAGAAGACAGAATTGGGTAGAGTCGAGCTGCAATGCAAGTCCCACAGCCTGAGCCACTGTACAGGGAGCTTTGTAAAGGGCTGTCAGAGTTATCCTTCCTCCATCAGCCAAAAAGATACTAATCTGGAAAAATACAACACTTATGTCAGTAATATATAATCTAAACTTGAAATAATGAAATCTTAGATTTCAAAGGAAACCTAGAAATAAATCTAGGACCTTGTTCTGTAGATGTAGACATTGAGGCCCAGAATGGCAATTGATTACCCAAGGTGACAGAGCATGGGAATGGTGTAAGCAGATCTCAGGCAGACTCTTTGCACAATGTAATACTGTGATTAAATTTGTATATGCTTTAAGTCTTGTTTATATTTTGCATACAGTTTATGACACCAGGTTCTTTTGCTTTGACTAATTATAGCTGTCCGTTCTGGGATAAAATGTAGATTTTTTTTTCTTTATTGATTTTAGAGAGAGATGAAGGGAGAGAAACATCATGGGTCGACGTTCAACCACTGAGCCACACCAGCCGGGCTAAAATGTAGATTTTTGACCCAGTTGCATCCAGAGAGTAGGAGCGGGAGGCAACAAATTACTTTTCCTAGGTTGTAGGTGGACTTTATGCAATGATAATTATAGCTTTATCCTTCTCTGCAACAGTTTCAATTACCTCTGTCATTTGTTTGTCCGGTTGCCTTAATCAAGCTTTTCTGTGGGGAAACTAGTCAGTGGTGACCAGGTCCTCTGCTGAGTACAATGCTGACAGTTTGCACAGTCAAGAGCCACAGAACTCTCAGCAGCCAGAGCTGTGCCTGGAATAGGGTCCTTCAGAGTCCAGGCCTCCAAAGGGGAAGTCAGCCTTCTGAAATTGTGGGAATTCTCTCTTAATTTTGAGCAAATACTTAGCGTGGAACAATAACCTGTGTCTTTGTTAGTTTATTTTAATGACTCTAAATGAAACATTTTTAGAAATTCCCCAACTAAACTTTGTGTTTTTTAGTTTCTATATTTTTATTAATGTTGACACTCAGAGAAGCTTTTCAGGGCCTTCTGGAATGTTTGGGGGATTTTGTCTTATATGCGTCTACAGACCTTAGCAGCAAGCATTGTGCATGGGACCTTCAGTTCTGCCAGATTGTGTTCATGTTGCTTGGGATATTGCTAGGATATTGAGATTTCCAATAGTGAGTGCCATTTATCAAGAACTTACTCTGAGCTAGGCAGCACTTTCTGTAAATTATCTTAATCTTTCCTCATAATGATTTTAAGTATTTTTGTCCGTTTTATAGATGAGGAACCCGAGGCTTGGGTCAAGTGGTATAAAATTATAACACATACAATTACGTACAGTACATAATACTTGATAATGATAGTAAGTGACTATATTACTGGTTTATGTATTTAAAAAGAACAAAATAGCCTGGCCAGTGTGGCCCAGTGGATTGAGCGTTGGTTGTCCCGAGGTCCTACTTCGATCCCTGGGGATGATCCCTGGAAGGGGGCCTGCAGGGGGCAGCCAATCAATGTTTCTTTCTCTAAAAAATCAATAAAAACATATTTAAAAAAATATAACAAAATAGAATCTACTCTTTCTACTTACGAACAAAAAAAGTTTGCTATAAATCAGTATCCCATGTCATTTTCTTGATTAAATCAAGCACAAAAGAAAATGATGCAATCTCATGTTGTTTTGTCCAGTAATATGCTGTACAGGCTGGTAGCCTAGGTGTATAGTAGGCTATACCATCTAGATTTGTGTAAGTCACTCTGTGATGTTCACGGGTGTAGTTGGAATGTGACAAATCATGAATTTATTCTAGAAATGTCTGGCTGCAAAGCCCTTTCTTTCAACAAGTAAACTACAAAATATCTGCATTTAAAAAACAACCACAACCATGCGGTCCAGAGAGACCCGAGTTCGGTTCCCGCTAAGGGCACGTACTTTGGTTGAAGTTTGTCCCTGGCCCTGGTTGGGTTGTGTGGGTGGCAGCCACTCGATGTGTCCCTTTCACGTCGATGTTTCTCTCTCTCTCTCTCTCTTCCTCTCTCTCCCTCCCACTCTATCTTAACAAAAAAGTGGAAAAATGTCCTTGGGTGAGAATTAAAAAAAAAAAAACCCTGGCCGGTTTGGCTCAGCGGAGACCCGGGTTCGGTTCCTGCTAAGGGCGCGTACCTCGGTTGCAGTTTGTCCCCGGCCCTGGTTGGTCGTGCAGGTGGCAGCCACTCGATGTGTCCCTTCATATTGATGTTTCTCTCTCTCTCCCTCCTGCTCTATCTGAACAAAAAAAAATGGAAAAATGTCCTCGAGTGAGGAAAAAAATAAATAACAAAACAACCACAACCAGGCTGACTCTCCTTCAGGTTCCCTTCTTATGCATTTATAAGAATTAACATATCTAAAGTCATGTTGGTAGTAAACTATGACATCTGCAAAATCAGTTGCCCCTTTGACCACAATATGGAATATATGACTGAAAGCTAAAATAGTTCACTGTATTATATGATCATTAGGTTTTAAGTTCAAATAGGTATAAAAATGGCCTTATGAAAACAAAATGTTCCAGATAAATGAATTACATTTAAATAGAGCCATAAGTAAAAAGTGAGATAAATGTATATTAATAAATATACTTCACATTTCCTTATGAATGGATGCACTTACAGGATAGTGTTTAATGCAGATTCCTACTTTGGTATCTTTACCTTAACCAGGACACTGATAAGTACCAAATTCATTACTGTGAGTCAGTGTGTATCTAGTAACTTTCACCTCTCTTGTCTTTTGAAAATCATTCTAAAAATCAACATGACAGTATAGAATATAAACAGGTAGACAGGAAGATATATAGCCATATCTATTAGCCACTTAAAGACAGCTTTACAAATCTTACGATTTTTGAGTCTTCAAAAGACCTGAGTTTCTAAGCACTTACATGGAATCACAGAATTAATTTGAACAGCCTTATCATAGGGAAATGAAGCCGTTTTGAAATAGCTTTTTGAAAATAGGTTGAGGATCCTAAATTAAGAACCACTAATCCAATCATATTTTTAGGAAACTGAAGCCCAAAAATGTGAAATTTCTCACAGAGCTTATGGCAGAATTGGACTTAGAATTTAGGTCATCTTACCACAAGTTCAGTATAACCCATTGTACCTCAGTGCCTTTCTCCCTCCACATAGCCCTTAATGCTATCTTTATATAGATGCTCTTTCTCCATTGTTATTTACGTAATTGATATTACAAAAATATAAAAAATCCCTTTTCTACTGAGGAATTTAATCATCATCAAAAATGATGGTTGAGCCCTGGCCAGTTTGGCTCAGCGGTTAGAGCGTCGGCCTGCGGTCCGGAGAGACCCGGGTTTGGTTCCCGCTAAGGGCGCGTACTTCGGTTGCAGTTTGTCCCCGGCCCTGGTTGGTCGTGCGGGTGGCAGCCACTCGATGTGTCCCTTCACGTCGATGTTTCTCTCTCTCCCTCCCACTCTATCTGTACAAAAAATGGAAAAATGTCCTCGGGTGAGGATAAAAAAAAAAAAAATGATGGTTGAGATGTTTCTGTTTTGTTTTCCTCTTCCATGTTAATACTCCTTTGCTGTCATTTTCAGAAATTAACCCTGCAGCATGTGAACAGTAATCAGTGCCTGGATAAAGCTACAGAAGAGGATAGCCAGGTGCCCAGCATTAGAGACTGCAGTGGAAGCCGGTCACAGCAGTGGCTTCTTCGAAACGTCACCCTTCCAGAAATATTCTGAGACCAAATTTTACACAAAAAGAAGAAAATAAGGATTGACTGGGCTACCTCAGCATACATTTCTGCCACATTCTTAAGTAGCAAAAAAGGAAAAGTGCTTCCTCCTGCAGGATGTAAGGTTTATCAGCCATTAAACTTAGACTCTCGCTTCTCACTAGCTGTGAACCATCCTTCCTGTTCAAGGACGAGCAACTACAATGTAGCGAGACTGTGCACACTGATGTTTACAAGATTGAAAGAGTCTTTCCTCAAGAATCATTGTAAAGACTATTCAGACAATGAAACAATCAACAAAACGTGCTTTCTGAAAAGCTGCACCTTTTAGGGTTTGCTTGCACATCAGTAATTTCTGCTGAACGTGCTGTCATAATGAAGAGATTTCCAAGAATTTTTCTGATTAGAACTGGTAGCCAGTATATTAAATATTGATATAAAGATATATGAAAAGAACTGGAACCAGATTCAGAATCATGAAAACAACATTTTTACAATTAAAAAAAAAAAAAAAAAACTATATTAAACAGGGTTTAAAGAAAATTAAAACAGAACTATGAGAAGTACAATTTGTTATAGTATAGTATCAAATTTCTATATAGATTTTTATACCTCAGTGGGGAAAAGTAACTAATTCCAATGACATTCATTTTGTTTTCATCTGTGACAGTCATGGATGCTTTTTAAAATTTCTCCTTGGGGTGCTGAAATTGAGCGGGTTGGGGGGGTATTTGAACGTAATTTTAATTGCTTTCTACAATTTTTAAAATTTGGTTTGTGGGCTGTTAGAATTATAATTTTTAATTGCCTTCCAAAAATGGAGATATAAAATACTGTCTGGTCTCACTGAACAGTTAGATATCTCAGTTGCTCTTGGGTCAACTGGCTTATAGATTTTCACACACACACACACACAAATTTCTTACTAGATTTTCAACTTGATTAAACTGAATATGCTTAATACCCAAGATTCATACTACTGTACTACAGATTTGTTTTCACAGCAATAAATCTTTAGTTTGTGTTTATGATTCCACTCAACAGAAGGCCTGCAGAGGTGATTTATTATTTGGGTATTTGAAGATGATACATTTGATGGGTTTTTTTGGAAAACTGTTTTCACTCCATATTCAGATGTGCTTCATTGTTAAGTGCATATTTAGATTAGGTTCTTGAATTGTAATGTTGATCTGCTGCTTTTTAAAAGTAATAATAAAATTTGACTGAAAATGTTTAATTGGCATTTTTTAATGAGTTAGCCAAAGAAGTGCAACTATTATTCCATATTATTAATCCTGCACTTCTTTCCCTAAATTTAATTTAGAGTAAATCGGTTTTCTTTTTCTCTGATTTCTAATACTGCAAAATAACCTATCAATTAAATTAAGCTTTAATCTCATAAAAAGAAAATCTCATTGTGACACTTTTCCCGATATGTAAAGCAATCTACTGGCAAAAGTGCATAGATTTTCCTATTTGTAAGATTATATTTAAATATTATTTTCTTTGATTATCAAAGACTTCCATTGCAGGCAATGCTATTTCTTGCGCCTAAGAATGTTTCTGAAAGTTGCACCACTAATGATACTTGCCAAGCTGAGTGTACAGAAAGTTCTCATATCCTATTCAAGTTAGTATCAAGCACATGTGGATGCTTTAAGGTGAGTCTGTAGTACAGAATGCAAAAATTTTGTCCCCAGGAAATTTGAAATTGAACAGTGCTGGATGGAATTTTTTTTCCTGCCCCATGAGCTGTGTTAAATCTATCCTCAGTAGGCCTAATGCTTGAATAAACCAGCTGTCTAATCAATAAATTATTTTCATGCTCAGAATTTCAGGTTTTGTACTCTAGCATAGCTTGGTTTTCTTCCTAACTGTAAGAAAGCTTAATAGCAGTGTGATTTAAGATTTTGTTTTGTTTTGTTTTTGTTTTTGTTTTTGTTTTTTAAGAGGGGGATGTGAGTGATTTAATTCATGGGTACTTTTAGAACCTGATAGATAATCCCATTGCCTTTATTTTTCTAATTAAAGAATTCCTAAATACTTTGAAAATATAAATATTCCTGAATAGTTGTGCCTTACATTGGTGTTTTTTGAAGTTAAAATGGGTACCTGTTCATTATATCCATTTGTAGGTTAGCCAACATGCTAATCACTCCGTTGTAAGTCAAACTGGAAAGAAAAGAATGAATGAAAAAGAAGGCAAAGAATGAAAAGATGGGACTATTATTTGACCAGTGAAGAATTAATAAATATGACAAGGATAATTTAAATATCACAAATCTATGCACCCTATTCCAATAACAATTTATTTTATGTCTCTTATTGGCATTCTTGAAAAACAGTCCTTCGTTCACCATTTTGCAGAAAGGGGCAGCATGTAGGCCATGTCCTCATTTCCCTGTTCTACGTTCGCTGAAAAACAGGTGCCTCTGTAAAGATCTGGTGCTCTTCTCATCTCCCAAGAAGAATACAAAAAGTTTAACTCCAGAATCACATGTTTTTCAAAGAACAAAGAAAATCAGAAGGTAATGTTTCTGATTCAGATCATAACTGAAAGGAGGTGTACAAAGAGTGGGTCACTATTTATAGTGTTTGGAAAATCAGATGTATTTCTATTTATATGATGATGCTGCTCCCATCCTCTAATTTCCTGAAGATTACCAAGTATTTGTTTGATGGACCTACCAGAACTAAAAATTTTGGAGAATATGAGGCAAAACTCTAGTTGTTTACAATTAAAATTTAAAAAATATAATTTATATTAGCATCATATAAGTCAGATACCTCAAAAGATAGTTAGTAGAATGAAAACTACGAAATGTTTCTGAGGGAAATTATACAACACTGCAATAAATATATTATGCTCATGGACTGAAAGACTGCATAATGTTAAAATCTCAGTTTCGCACAAATTAATCTAGAGTCAATGAAATCAAAATCCTATGAGGCTGCCTTGTATATCAGTTAAGTTTTAATCTGATATAAATTGGAACATAAATATGGAAATGCAACAGACCCAGAATAGTCAAGATAATCTTGAAGGAAAAAAAAATTGGAAGACTTAAACTACTCAATTTCATGACTGACTTGAAAGCTATAGTAATTAAGAGACTATGGTACTAGACTTAGGACAAACATGTCAGTGGATAGAAAAGAGTTCAGATATAGACTCATATATATATATATATTGGCTTTTCAACAAAAACACCATGCAATTCAATAGAGAAAGGATTTTTTTTTTTTTTAGTTAGAGCTAGAGTAACTTTGGTTACCTGAGAAGAAAACACGGATGCTTTCACACAATACACAATTTATTCCAAGTGGGTCACAGACCTAAATGTAAAGGGCAAAACAATTGAACACAGTATCTTCATGGCTCTTGGGGCACAAAAGACAACTATAAAAGAAAGAAAATGATAAATTTTACTGATAATAAACTTTCTTTCTGAAAGTGATACTGTTAAATGGCAAGCCACAGCTAAGGAGAAAATATTTGCAACACTTGTAACTGACAAAGGACTTGTATGCAGGGAAACAACGAAAAAGCCATTGCAAAAGCAACACAATATAAAAATAAGTTACTGAATACACAATTCACAGAAGCTATTCAAATGCACAATTGGCACAGGAAAAGGTGTTCAACATCAGCCATCAAGGAGTGCACAATGGAACCACAAGAAAATGCCACTGCATACCTGCTGAATGGTGAGAATATGGAGCAACTAGTAGAACTGTACATTGGTATAATCACCTTGGGAAACAGCTTGTCAGTTTTTTATAAAGGAAAATATGTGCCCACCCTATGACTCATTGATTCCATTTCTAGAGATATAACCAAGAGAAATGAGTACATATGCCCACAGTAAGATTTGTACAATAATATTCATAGCAGCCCTGTTTATAATACCCCCAAACTGGAAACTACTCATATCCACCAGCAAGTTAATGGATAATCAAATGGTACATTGGAATACTAGTCTGCAATTAAAAAAAAAAAATGAATTGCTTGTAAAAGGGATAATTCTAAAAAATACTGTTGAACAAGAAAAACGTTACATTTATATCAAGCTCCAAAACAAATCTAGGGTGAAAACCTCTGGGTAAGTATAGACTGGAAAGGGGCATGAGAGAACATTCTGGAATGATGGAAGTATTCTATAAATTGACTTAGTGGTAACATGCATATATATTAGTTAAAATTTATTGAGCTGTATACTTAGAATATATGCTTTTTATCGTATGTAAATTATACCTCAATAAAATGCTGGGGGGAAATAAGGAAGATAGTTACTCTTTTGGCATCAAGGTTTTCTAAAAAGTTCTTCCCTGCTACAAAACACCCACAGGCTAAATAAATTGCAAAAAAAAAAAAAAAAAAAAAAACACTTCTCAGTGGGATGCTGAGCTCACAAGAAAATATGGAAAATCCCTAAAGTCTAGGGGGGAAAATGGGTGTGTGAGGGTGGGGGAGACACATAAACTTAAGCCACAAAAGTAACTTAAATATGAACATCCTTTCTCTCCTATGAATAAAATATAATAATCAGAGTTTGGTGAATGGGAGCTTAGGCTTTTAGCCTGAACAAAGTTGGAGACTTGACGATCCCTGCATAAAGTTCGGATAGTCAGAGGTTACACTTACAGGGCAAAGGGTAGGTAAGAAAGTGTGCCACCTTGGCCCTGGCCGGTTTGGCTCAGCGGTTAGAGCATCCACCTGCGGTCCGGAGAGACCCGGGTTCGGTTCCCGCTAAGGGCATGTACCTCGGTTGCAGTTTGTCCCCGGCCCTGGTTGGTCGTGCGGGTGGCAGCCACTCGATGTGTCCCTTTCACATCGATGTTTCCCTCTCTCTCTTCCTCTCTCTCCCTCCCACTCTATCTGTGCAAAAAATGGAAAAATGTCCTCGGGTGAGGATTAAAAAAAAAAAAAGAAAGTGTGCCACCTTGTAAAGGAAACCAAAGGGTAATCTACCTCTGTCCCCTTTCCAGATAGTAGTGATGAGGATGATACCACCCTACAGCCAGAAGGCCTGATTTCACCATAGATCAAAGGTTTAAAACCTCAATACAGTCTGCAGATTGAGAAAAAATGAGTCCAGATTAATGACACTTACTGGAAATCATTAGAATACATGTCTTTTGGGGTAGGGGGAATTAAGCCTCTATGCTCCCACAAATTAAATTACAAAATCACTATCTAAAAGAGGAAACGAGAAAGTTCTCACAAAGTGAGAATAGCTTTTTGTTGTTAATCCTCACCCAAGAATATTTTTCCATTGATTTTTAGAGAGTGGGAGGGAGGGAGGGAGAGAAACATCACTGTGAGAGATACATCGATTAGTCACTTCCTGCATGGGATCAGGGATTGAACCTGCAACTAATGTATGTGCCCTTGTCTAGAATCGAAATGAAGACCCTTCGGTCCTTGGGCCAACACTAACCACTGAGCAAACCAGCCAGGGTAAGAACAGCTTTTGTCAGACTAAAACTTTTGCCAATAAATTAATAACCCTGGAAAACACTTAAAAAAAAAAAAATTAATGCCTAAAGAGTGAGCAAAAGTCAGGAAATGTAGGGGAATTTGACCTTTGTTAAAAAGGGATCTTCACAGGGTATGATGATAAATATGCAGCTTTTCCTCAGAGAGCATCTCCAGTACACAGCACACTAGAGGTAGTGTTCATACAGGTAGTGGCTTGTCTCAGGCTGAAGAGTCAGAAATGTTACTAAGAAGCAGAGTGGCTGAAAATTGAGGGAGGAAATGCCAAACAGGAGGGAGTCATAGAGGAGCCCCCAAATCTGCATATGAAACTTTCTTCGAATCCTTGGCAGATTTGACTAAGTGTACATAGGGTAAGACTCCAAGAAGCTCAGGAGAAAAGTGGGAGGCAGAAAGGTGTGAGCAGAGATCTTAGCAGTTGCGTGGTGCCAAAATACAGTTCTGAGTTCGGAGAGGCCTGCTAAACACTTTAGACTTTATGTTAAAATTCAGGAAGGGCCATATGTAGGAATAAAGACTTTAAGGATTTAGGTCTGTTCCTATAGACATGGTCAAAATAGGAAAGGACTAGACTTAACAGTAAAACCAAGCCTTTAACATCAAGTTGATCTACCAATAATATAACTGCCATCTTGGAAAAAACTCAACAACAGTCTTCTGAAGAAGATAACAGAATACAGGATCTTTTCAGTGTATCAATCACAATGTCTAATATACAATGAAAAAGTAACAAGAAAGTTACTTGTTTTTCAAAAGTCAAAAGAAACAGATCCACTGCTAACCTACATAATGGAATTAGCAAATTCATCAATACTTAAAAAAGATTTGATACAATAAGAACATGGGAAATTTCAGAATAGGTTTAGAAACTCGAAAAGAGAAAGGTACGAATCCTAAAGTTGAAAAACATCAAAAATTTTATTGAATGGGATTAACAGCAAATTGGATGATATAGAAAAATTAATTGTTGAACTTAAACATAAGTCAAAAAATTTCCAAACTGAACCACAGAGAAAGATATTGAAGGGGGAAAAACATGGCTTAGTACAGAGGAACTGGAGAAGTACCCATTCCTCCCTCAAGAACAAAAGAGTAGACCATGTATCCAATGTGCTGGCTTATCTGGAGGCAACCTGAAGGACTGGTTTCTGCCTTGCCTGACTCTGAGCACTAATGGGATCAGTACCAGAATTTGTAACCTGCTGAAAACAGGCAAGTAGCATATTAGAGCAGATCTGCAGGCAGACACCAAAGGGAGCAAGAGGTAAAAAGAAAGAAGATCCAGCCCAGCTGGTGTGGCTCAGTGGTTGAGTGTTGACCCATGCACCAAGAGGTTGCCAGTTCAATTCCTGGTCAGGACACATGCCCAGGGTGTGGGCCAAATCCCCAGTGGGTGCATGCAGGAGGCGGCCAAACAATGTTCTCTCTCATCGATGTTTCTATCTCTCTCTCCTTTTCACTTCCTCTCTAAAATCAATAAAGAAAAAAAAAATCTTCTTTTAAAGTTCATTCCTTGAGCCTAGCATTACCCTGGTACTAACGCCAAAAACAATACAGTCGTCCCTCGTTTATTGTGGTTAATCTGTTCCAGACTCTAGCAGTTGCACCTGGCGTTGAAGAATTCCTGGGGTGCTCAAATATATAGGCCTACAGTCCACACATACAGTAATTTTAATTGTAATACAAGGGTGTATAATTGACTCAGACAACTGAGCGCGCTGTATCATTTTCACTGTCTTGATCAACTTTTTAATGAATATATTTGAAAAAACCACAATAGAGTAAAGCCGTGAAAGTCGAAACACAAAGTGGCAAAGGATGACTGTACAAGAAAATAAAACAATAGACCAATGTCCCTAATGAATATTGGTGCAAAAATCCTTAACAAAATACTAGCAAATGGAATTCAACAGAAATGAAAGGATTCTACACTATGACCACGTGGGATTCATTCCTGGAAAGCTAGTATGTCTCAACTTACAAAAATCAATTGCTATACCACATTAACAGAATGAAGGACAAAATCCATATGATCATTTCAGTTAATGCAGAAAAGCATATGAGAAGATTTAATACCTTTTTTTCATTTTTATTTTATTTTTTCATTAACATTTATCCCCTCTATGCTTTCAATACTTTTTAATGATTTAAAAGCAAGCAATCAATAAACTGAAAATAGAAACTACCACAACATAATAAAGACCATATATGAAAAGCCCACAGGTATTGTCATACTCAGTGGTGAAAGACAAAGTTTTTCCTCTAACAAGACAAGGATGCCTTCTCTTGCCACTTCTGTTCAACAAAGTATTGGAAGTCTTAGCCACAACATTTAGGCAATGACAAAAATCCAAATAGGAATGAAAGAAGTAAATTATCTCTGTTTGAAGATGACATGATCTTATATGTAGGAACTTCTAAAGATTACACATACACAACCCTGTTAGAACTAATTTAGCAGAACTACAGGATACAAAATGAACGCACAAAATGGCATTTCGATACATTAAAAATAAACAATCTAAAGAGGAAATTAAGAAAGCAGTTCCATTTATAACATCAAAAAGAATAAAATACTTAGGAATAAACCTAACCTAGGAGATAAAAGACTTATATACTGAAAACTACAAAACATAGCTGAAAGAAATTAAAGAAACACAATTAAGTGGAAAGATACCCTATTTTCATGAACTGGACAACTTAATATTGTTAAGATATGTATACCACTCAAAGAAATCTATAAGTTCAACACAATAGCCATCAAAATTCCAACAGTTTTTTTTGTTTGTTTGTTTGTTTTGTTTTGTTGTTTTTTTTGCAGAAATAGAAAAATTCATTCTCAAATTCATATGGAATCTCAAAGGACACGGAATAGCCAAGAAAA